ACTGAAACAGTATGGTCCTTGGAAATTCTCGAGCACAGCATATTTTATTTCACAATTTGTGATTATTTTGTAGCTCTTGAAAAACTCTATCTGCACTCAAAAAATGACGGTGGTATCAGGAACGATACTCAAGATTGTATGGATCATACTATCCCAACGGTGGGTTTTCCTGTACAACTGAAACAGTGTGATCTTTGGAAATTCTCGAGGGCAGCATATTTTCCTTTACAATTTGTGATCATTTTGTAGCTCTTGGAAAGCTCTATCTCCCCTGATAATATGAGTTTGATTTGGTTAACTAACCCGATTGACCTATGAGGGTGATTGAGAACTGGATAATGCTTCTGTCGTAGTTGGAAAAGTCTGGAATAGCTCTCTGGAGATGGTTTGAAATAGGTCGAGATGCTTTATTCGTGCTTAGAGGAAGATGAAATTCAATTTTATAAAGTGTTCTGAGATGATTTTTATTTAGGGCCGTTTTACGTGCAAACCGTCCCCCCTCCTTTAGATATGATTGTTATAATAAAGACCGATTCTAGTAAAAAGAAAAAAAGTAGATAAATTAATTCTCGTTGCTGTGTTTCCATTTTATAAATTGATATTTTTAGTCTTTATTGAGGGTGTGGGTATGGATGACAGAGAGAGAGAGTATATGATTCATCAACATATCCAAACAACATCTACATCCACACCGTATTTTGAATGTGTTCAAACAAATCAGCATATAATTTTTCTAGATTCGATTCATTTATGAATGCTTGTTCAAATTGACGTCAATGTTCAATATTCGTTAACTAAAATAAATAAAATAGATTTTGTTTTTTTGTTGATACCATTGATATTTGCAAGTTTTCTTTTAATATACCTGCAGATACTATTTTCGATCAGCAATAAGAAATAAACGATTGTCTGATTCTTCAAAACGAGCACTGAAACGTAATTACATCAATAAATACCTAAAAAAGTAAAAGATATACTACATTATCTATGAAAATTCATTTTGACATTTCATGGCGAAATTTATTGATTTTGTATTGATCGTCATTCCTTCGGATTGCAATAAAGAGTTTTTGTTTTTCATTAATGTTTTACTATTTATCTTTTCCAAATAAATTTTAATTGTATGTGTAAGTCTTGATAATTTTTATAAAGAAAACTAGGAAGAATATTTAACCATAGGCAGAATTTTACTCATAAGAGGGTGTGGGTGTGGGTATCATTATAGGTCTTGTCTTCACCCACACCCATACCCTGTGATAGATATGCACTTAACATAAGACAAGTTAGCCCCCATATAGCCATACATAGTGATTTTCTTTGTGCAATATTTGTCATTGATAATAAAGTCCATTCATTAACTTTAGCTGAATAACGTGCATTAATTAAAGCACGAAAAAAAAAAACTAATGTGTGCAAGTAATAATGATAAAGGACGTAATAAAAGTAAAGCTTCATATGGTAATGTTGATGACTGTTTTGTACGTGTATATAATTCTTCAACAAGTTCAATAAGAATATTATCTGATGATGATATTATTGATGAACTAGCAATTATTGTTTGTTCTTTATTAACAAGTTCATTATTTAATGGATTTTGTATTTTTATTTGGTCGTTGTAATAATGTATAAATACATGAAAGTATTAACACCATATATCATTTTTGGGATATTGACCAACTATTAAAAGTTTTTCAAGACTAATTGATATAACTTTTTGTGTTAAATTATCATCTTTCATTAATAATAACCAAATATCATATGAATTTAAATCAACTTCATGACTTTCAAGTAAAAATAAACATAATGTATATGCATGAGTTTTAGTTATTAATTTATAATTACGTTCAATTAAATTTATATATAATTCATTATATTCTTTAGTTCTTTGTTCAAGTAATATACTAGATTTACATAAATTATAACTTATTAAGGATATTATTAAATCATCTTCATCAAACCATGTACAAATAAATCAGATAGATATATAATTGAACCTATTAATTCATATTACATATATTTCAATTAGAATTTGTAATGATGATGCTAAATCAAAACCATGATGAAAAAATACGTGATCAAATAAACTCTAAATTATATATTTTTAAAGATGGATGCCAGAAAAGAAAATGTTCATAATTTAATTTTTTGATTGATAGAATTTGTTTGAAATTATTGATATAAGCTTTTATCTCTATGAAATAAGATAGTTTGCATGTATTATATATCAAATCAAAGTCAGAGAAACACTAGATTTTCTCTTTGATGAAATTAATAATTTAGCAATGAATTTATCTTTCTTTTAACTTAGAGTTCTATTTGTCGATTATTAAAACATATGTGAGACTTACATTAACTGATAATGGTAATGTATTATTACTTTGGATTGATGTTAATATAGTATCATATGAAAGTTGTCCATAGGATAATAAATCACGTGTACCTAACCGTTCAATATTTGTAAATAAATTATTTGAACTTATATCTAATGTTGAACGTGTTTGCATATATTGACCACCGATAAAAAAAGAACAGATAAAATCTAGTTTATTTTTCAATCTTGTTATCATTGTGTTGTATTTGTTTCTAAAGTTTCTTCTTTTTTTTTACAATTATTTGTTGTTTGTTTATTTTCATCATTAGATTGATTTGTGGTGAATTAATTGAAGCTAAAAATGAAGCCTATATTTCTTGAAATTGTATTCTAAATAATCAACCAACTTCAAAATTGTCTTTATATAAATATTGGTAAACAAAATAATAATATAGCTATACAATATAAATCATGTCAATAAATATATGATATATATATATTTAATTTTTCTTGTTAAATAATAAAGATGATCTTTTATCTGGTTCAATTAAATTTAAATATGATTATAATATATTTGATATAGTTAAACCATGTCGTTGATAAAGATATTCAAATATTCATAATAGTGTTTTCGATAATGTACAACATGATATTATTTGATCTATTTCATAACTAAGAAATGATGCTTTTTTTTAAAATATATTTATATAAATTATTTCTGATATAAATATTATAAAACGTAATAAATCTTGTATATCACCTGTTGAAAATTGACATGTTAATTCAACATGATTTTGTATTTTATCAAAATATATTGATATAGAATCTATGAATGCAATTGAATATGGTTGATTATTAGAAGCATGATAAAAGACTTTTTTCATAAATTGTATTAGGTGTGGTTTCAATGCCATTTTAATTTGTTTCAATTGATATAACTATGCAAAATCCTAGGAAAACAAACAAAGAACAGATTTATATTGTTTCGTATTTTCTCAAATCAATTTTCATTTACTATAAGAATCATCCTAAAAATTTAATGCTGTGGAAAAAATTCAATACGTTTTCAGAGTTCAAACTTATAGAAAGTTTATCGAAATTTTCGAATGCAATTTATTTCGAAATATAATATTAGAAAGACGTCGTTTTCTTTAATTGTAATAGTACAAATAGCACGACTGAGAATTTGATCAATAGGATTCGAGAGGAATTATTCGATCATTGTACTAATGTAGCTTAAATACTTTCCTTTACGATTTGTATTACCTGAAATTCTGCATATTTTCTATTTCAAAATATTTTTTGAAATTTTGAATTATTCGAAAGTCTCCTCTATTACTAGCACATAAACAATGTCAAAGTAAAAAAAAACATTTCTTTTAATTGGATTAAAATTTTTATTATACATATATATTTATTTATTTCGATAAATTAAACTAAAATATATCGGTGACATCATAAATGGTAATCATTTTTTATAAGTTATATTTTTAAGCATTTGTGCATAAATTTTTCTTGTTATATCTATAGGATAATTCAGATTATTAAAATCTTCTTTAATAATATCAATTGATGTTGTTATTGATAATATTTATAAAAGTTATGGTATATATTTAGGTCATAATTGTTTATTTAATGGTAATGGAAGGAATTGTTCAACTAATAAAACTAATAGAAGACCACTTTCATCTAAATGTATTCTTTCACAAAAAAAATAAATGACTTGCAACTGATGTATGATGTATAAGATAAAATAAAAAATAATAATAATAATTGATAATGTGTTGTTATTGATGTAAAATGTTCAACATATAATTCATGATGATATATTAAATCACAATATGATTGTAATTGACCACTGATAGATAAATGTATTCTTGATGATGATGGTGTTAATGTCGGTGACCAGCATGCTTCTTGTGTATAATCAAGCATATTAAGAATATGTGTCCATTGTAATAATAATGAGATATAAAATGATGATCATAATAATTTAAAACATTCATTTAAAATAGTTAAATATGAAAATGTATCAAGACGATGTACAGTTTCATCATGAATTCATAATTGATGAAAATCATTTACAATTGTTCGAAATTGTTTAACTAAAATAAAATCATAGATTTTATATAAGCATAGGAATT